GACCAGCGGGGGTGCGTGTGCGGGTGCCGTGCCGCAGCGGGGATGCGGGTGCGGCGGCGAGGGTGCGGGCGGCGGGTGTGCGGGTGCCGGTTGTCGGGTGGGCGGGGATCCGGGCGGGTGTCGGGCAGCTGGGGTGCGGGTGTCGGGTCCGGGGGTGCGGGTGTCGGGGCGTCGGCGAGGGTGTTTTGGGGTGGGCGGGGGTGGGGCACCCCGGCGGCGGGGGTCCGGGGGTCAAACCCCTACCCCGGCTTTGCCCCCGGGGGCCCCCGCCTGACAACCCTGGCTGTGGTTCTTACTCCACTTGGGGTAGAGGACAAGGCTCATGGTACAACAAGTGGGATAAGCCATACCCACCACATCCCGGACTACCGAAAGGAGAGCCTTGGAAAGAATTGGGAATCACAGAAAAGGTCTGGCAAGAGAGAAAGAAAGCCGACCAATGCCCAAATGCAGGGACCCCGACCACATTGTCCCCTATTGCCCTGACTATAGGGGGGCAAAAGGGAACAACCGGTAGAGGTGCCAGTTGCCTCTACCGGAGCTTCGAATGTTGAAAAACTAGAATCCTCTCATTCGAAGGCTCTACTGGCAAAAACTGAAGAGGAAGGAAGTACCCATCTAGTACACTGTCCAAAGGTGGCAAACGTATGCATCTCTCTAGATGGATCCCTCACTGGCGTGGGTGATGAGTTGGCCGCTCGTCGCCAAGCCTGGACTGAAATGGGAAAAAAGAAAGGACAGTTAATAATTGCAAATCTAGAAATAAATTGAGTTAGAGTAGGAGGTATGATAGACAGCGGGTCTACACGTAGTTATATTAGTAAAAGAGGTTTGCAGAAACTGCGTCTTGGGCATAAAGTTAATAAGTTAGATGAGCCCATTATAAGTAAGTTGGCGAATAGTAGTGAAACTGTCATGGATCGATACGTCGAGGGAGTACAAGTATACTTTCGGTTAGAGGCAGAGGGGAAGGTGGAACGCGTTCTCCACTCTGTGACCTTCTTGGTGGAGGATAACTTGCCCTTTGATGTGTTGCTAGGAATGGATTGGGGTGAGGTTGCACATGCGGATCTAAAGTTAAGGGAACATGAATGTTGGCTCCCAAGTCCGTAAGGAGGTAAGAAAAAGATTCGCCTCTACCATGAATCAGGAAAAAAAAGCAACCTAGCTCACTGTTGTATGAGTGCCCCAGCGTTCGTTCGTCATGTTAAGAAACATAACTTGTATGACCAAGTCTTTGTTGCATATGTGCGTCCAATAAAGGAAGGAGAAACAAAAGAAGAAATCAGGTCCCAAGAGATTGACAGGATCCTGAAAGAGTTCGCAGATGTGGCTGAAGCCCCAAGCGGTGTGGTGGAAAGACCAATCCGCCACCGCATTGATATTATTCCAGGAAGCGCGCCCCCGAAGGGGCCTATCTATCGTATGTCGCCCGAGGAATTGGATGAACTGCGAACCCAACTCAATGAGTTGTTGAAAAATAGTTGGATAAGACCTAGCTCCTCACCCTATGGTGCGTCTGTGCTCTTTGTGCCTAAAAAGGATGGCGGCGTTCGCATGTGTATAGATTATAGGAGATTAAATGACATAACCATAAAGAATGCTGAACCATTACCGCGAATAGACGATTTGCTGGATCGCATGCAGGGAAGCAAAGTATTCTCAAAGATTGATCTAAAATCCAGCTACCATCAGATTGAAGTTGAGCCGGAAGACCAACATAAGACTGCCTTCAGGACAAGGTATGGGCATTATGAGTTCGTAGTTTTGCTTTTTGGTCTCACAAATGCCCCTGCCACTTTCCAAAGAACGATTAACGAACTCTTTCGTGAATGGCTCGATAAATTTGTTGTGATTTATTTGGACGATATTTTGATTTTCAGCAAAAATGAAAAGGAGCATGCTGAGCACCTTCAACTTGTGCTAAATAAATTGAGAGAAGCAAAACTCAAGTTAAACCCAAAGAAGTGTGAATGGGCTAAGCGTCATGTGCTATACCTAGGATATATGATTGATGGACATGGGGTCAAACCGGAAGATGTCAAGATAGCAGCAATCAGAGATTGGCCGAACCCCCGCACCTTGACTAAGTTGCGGTCGTTCCTTGGGTTAGCCAATTACTATCGAAAGTTCGTAAGACACTTTACGATAATAGCTGTTACCCTTCGCCGATTGCTTAAGAAAGAAGTAATTTGGAAGTGGGATTCAGAACTGCACGATGTCCTTCAAGCGTCTGAAAAAGTGTTTGATTAATTATCCGGTTCTCAAAGTGGCGGACCCTTCCTTACCTTTCGTTGTCATGACCGGCGCTAGTCAATATGGTATAGGTGTTGTACTCCAGCAAGATGATGGGCATGGGTACAGACCTGTAGAATTTATGTCTTGCCGCTTACCTAACGAGAAGGTGACCGCTTCAACGTATGAACAAGAGTTGTATGCTTTGCGTGAGGATCTCAATCATTGGCGACACTACCTTCTAGGAAGGCATTTTAAAGTATACTCTGACCATGAAACACTTCGCTGGCTCAAAACGCAAGCTCGAATAACACCAAAGTTGACAAGGTGGGCTGCAGAGATTGATATGTTTGACTTTGAGCTGAAGCCAGCCAAGGGTAAGTATAACGCTGTTGCTGATGCACTAAGTCATAGATCATACTTTTTCGGTGTTATTGTGACTTATCTAGATGTAGGTGCAGACCTATAAGAAAAAATTAGAAATGTGTATCCCTCTGATCCTGTTTATGGAGCCATGATTAAGCTAGTGCAAGAAAAGCCAGCAGAGTTTTCCGATCATAAAGTAACTCAGGATCTATTGTTTAAACAAACTGATGTACATGATAGACTGTGTATACCCAATAATGAAGAGATCAAGAGTATGATCTTGGGGGAATGCCATGATACAGAAGGCCATTTCAGGTGGAAGAAGACCTGTGGGACTTTATTGCGTTCCTACACTTGGCCTCGAATGAAAGCGGACTGTATCGCGTATGTGCAGGGTTGCCAAGTGTGCCAACGAAACAAAAGCACCACGCAATCGCCCCTCGGCCTACTTAAGTCCTTGCCTATCCCTACCGGCCCTGGAGACTCTGTCTCTATAGTTTTCATGGATACTAAGGTGAAGAGCAGAAATGGGAAAACGCAAGTAATGGTCATAGTGGATAGATTCACTAAGTATGTTGTTTTTGTAGCCTTGCCTTTGGAAGCCAAGACTGAATTGGTAATTCGGGAATTCTTTAACCATTGGATAAAAGACTTTGGACATCCCTTGACTATAGTAAGTGACAGAGATACTAGGTTCACAAGTGAACAATGGCAGCAACTGATGAATGTTTATGGCTCTAAGTTGACAATGTCATCAGGTAGGCATCATGAGACTAATGGTCAGACTGAGCAGATGAATAAGATATTGCAGCAAACTTTGCGCATGTACATTCGTCCTGATCAGATTGACTGGGATGAACATCTGCCTAAAGTTGCCAGTGCCTATAATAACTCTGTACATCTATCTACGTGTAAGACTCCTATGGAGTTACATCTGGGATGGCGTCCACGCAGACCCATTGATCGGTTGAACCCGGATCAAGTCCATAAGCTTCCTCTAGGAACTAGTGAATTTGCAGTCCAATATCAAAAAAACATTGAGAAGGTAAAAGAAAACATACTCAAAGCCCAGCATCAGATGATTGAACAAGCAAATAAGCATAGACGCCCGTCTCAATTTGTTGTAGGAGATTTGGTTTTCTTCAGGAGTTTGCTCCTGAAGAAAACACCTCTCAAAAGTTTTTACCCGCCTACAGAGGACCTTGGCAGGTTCAAGACGTAATTGGAGATGTGGATGGTCCTTCGTATGTCATTGAGATTCCTCCTCATCTACGTACATATCCAGTGTTTCATGCGTCCAAGCTCTTACCTTGTGTAACGAATGAGCTCTTCCCAAGTCGCCGCTCAGCGATACCTCCAAGTATGGATGGGAAGTATGACGTAGATAAAATTGTTGCAGAAAGTACTTACCACACTAGACGTAGAGGCAGACCACAACGACAATATAAGGTGAGGTTTGCATACCAGGATCCTAGTGACGATCGCTGATTTACAAGAGAATAGTTGTTAGATTCTGCACCTCATATTGTGTCTGCGTACGAAAGCGCAAAGAGAGGGATTCATATCCTTGATAGGTAAATGATTCTCAGAGGACTTCGAAATCAGGCCGGCGAGAGTAAAAGGGCCTTTACCTGATGAAGGTCTCAGACCTTGTAAAAGTAAAGCAGCACGGGCCTTATAAAGGTAAAGCATTGTGAAAAGGTTTCTCGCCAGGGCTCAGAAACGTGAAAGCAGGTCAAAGGTTAAGTTCTCTATCAACAGGCACATCTAAATCTAAGGCAAATGGCATTATCAAAAAACTTACCTGTTCACCAGGAGATGTGTATATCATGTCTGTTCGGGTAAGAGTGTGTCTGTACGTGCAGGCAGTGTACCTGTTCGTGCAAAGGAAAGTGTCTGTTCAAGCAGTAAATGTGTTTGTTCATTGAGAGTTGTGCCTGTCCGAAAGTAAAGTCAATAGGCACAGTCCAAGTTCTGGTCTAAGTCAAGGGGTCAGTCCAGATCCAGACTTTCAAGTCCAAATACAAGCCGAGAGGCCTTGGCAGCAGTTGAACTTCATTGGGACTCTACTGGGACACATGCAATGCAGGGTCTGGGACAAAGGAAAGGCCGAATTGAGCCAATGCAGACTCAGCGAGGAGTGGTCAGCACTATAAAGGGAGCTGCCTGCCTCATTCCTCGCCAGATCTCCACTGGCTGCTATGCGTGGAAGTGCTGCCTGTACGCTGGAAGTGATGCAGCCATAGCTGCCCAGCGAGTTAGCATTAGTAGTAGAGGGTTAGTATGTAGCTATGAGTAGTATCCAGAGTAGATCCTTATGAGTGAAGAGTGTGTATGCRTCGTAGGAGGAAGGGACTGAGGCTGAGAGTGTTCATTCAAGGTTCGGCTATGGAAGATACTTACCTGAGTTGGGTGTGACCTGCAGAGGTGGCGCTGATGAGTAGCGACCACATTGATGACTTGGAGACTATCTGCAGGAGTAGCGCTGATTCACTGGAAGCCATACTGATGAGTTGACGAGAGATTGGTGTTGCGCTGATGAGCGCTGGACTCAGGGGAACTTTGAAACACTTTGTATTCATATTTTTGATAATATAAGCTGTGGAACTCAGTCCTCTTCTCATCTACCTTTGTCTATGAATGGAGACTATTGATCATTGTGTGTGAGAGTGATGCATGACATGTACACACTTGCGTGAGATGGTCCCCAGGACCCATGCAATTAAGAACGGACAGTCCTTTCGCTCATGGGGTAGTAAGGTACAAAAACGTGCGACGATATGCAGTTATTTGAGCAGGATCAACCAGAATACTTCTATCAGAAGTGAAATTCCAGGGCGGGTCTTGTCTTTGAAACGTGAACTGAGACTGAGGGATGTCCCGGGCGAGTTCTTCAACAGGGTTTTGAAGAGGTTTGCGTACAGAAGAGATGTGGTGTGGCACGAGACTGTTAAGCTATTCTCATAGTCTGTGTTTCGGATGGTCGGCAGTACCGAGCTTATTTTTATTTTATTTTGATTTTGTCTGTTTTTGTGCTTGTCGAATGAGGTGTTGCCCGGTCAGGGTTGGATTGTTATTTAGGGAAGGAATCGCCCTGCCGGCCGTTTAATGTTTGTCTGTAGTGTTTTGAAGTTGTTCAATTGTTCCTGTTAGAGACAGCATAGCGCTTGGATAGAGTTGGATTGATGCTATGTGCTTCTAGTGTTGGCATGTTCGAGTGTTCCTGCAGGTGACCGCTTAATGTTTGGACAGGGTTGGACTGATACTCAGTGTAGTAGTTCCGTGGGATGACGAATGATTGTTGGATCTAGTAGTAGGTTGCCGTTGTTTGGCTGTACCAGTATGGGACTGTTTTTTTGTTGGTTCGCTGTTCTGGTGGTACTAGGATGATACCTGGATCCTAGTGCCAGATCGAATGCCTGGTTTGCAGTAGGCGATTGTCAGACCGGGGGTACCTGAGTACCACCGGGACCTGACTACCTTTTTGGTTCGGAGATCGGCTCAGACTATAAGTAAGATGCGTGCGATACAATAGGTCTCTTTGAACGGCCGCGGAGGCGGTCGGCGGGTACGGAGGAATGTTTGGCGGTTCCTGGGTGTCGTGGAACGTTGGGTTGGATTTCTCGATGATATCTATATGATTGCATCTCTAACTTCGTCTACTTTGTGTGGTTTGACTCTTGCATAATGAGTGTCTACCATTACCATTACCGATCTGACCTCGACGTTTTTTCGTTGCTTCCCCACGCTCCACAGGATCAAGGCTTGAACAGATCTTGTATTATAGTATAGTATAATTAGACATATGTCTGGCTATTAGTCAGTCGAACTGAGTACTATCATGCCAAGCAGCGCCATATCATTTGCCCATAATTCCCCTCAGTCCCAGGGGATGGGTTGTTGTGTGCGCCACCATGACCAGAAATTTTTCAATTTTTAAATTTTCGTT